TATTTCGCATATGTCTTGCGTCGAGCCCATACTCTTGATTAGATCGTAATGTGAGGTGAGGCCTTCTTTTACTCCAGTCAGAATTACACTGGCAACTTGCCGGTATTCAGGTAGGAGGTACATGGTGTAACCTGGGAATTGGTATTATTTCAGCTTGTCATCCGAAAGTTTTGCTTCCATAATTGAGACAATATCTATATCATAGGTTTGTATGATTTTCTGGACTTGGATCGTTTTGTCCTGTGACATCCCTCCAGCATTCCACTGGAGGATCTGTAGACGTTGTGATTCGCCCTGACGAGGGTGATTTCTTTTATATCCTTGTTTCAAACTATTCTTCATAAGTAGAAATCAAATGTCGAGTGATAAACTTTTTTACCTTATGAAGATACGTTGTCCTGGGTGCACCACATGGAGGTAAGTCTATCGCGCACCCCCAACATCCAAATACAGATTATATAATAATTGAATTCCTTATCGGAATAAATGCCTTGATTCCATTGAAACATTCAAGTGAAGATTTAAAACTTCGCAACCAGCTAACTTTATGTGCTTCATTATCTTTTGCATGGACTCTAGGAGGTGTCAATATAACTATCTTCACCATACTTCAGATGTAGTACTGTTAGCTCTATACCTTTCTAACCAACCTCTATTCTAACCTCGAACCCTGGATAATTGATGGGTAATTTGGTTAAATATTCATTCCGAAATAGGACAGTAGGTGCTGTTAGCATATTTCAATACCAAGGGATTTAATTATAGACTACTTATTGGTTTTGAAAAGTGGTAATAAATCAGATTATATGTAATTAATTTGTCAGAGTAGTCAATTCATTATTAGTTCGAGTTGGATGTATACTTGCATTTGAGCTTCAACAAAGACCAGCAACACATGATTAAGGAGGTGGTGGGGGGTGGGTGGGGAGATATATTGAGATTTAAACGAAAAGATATCTTGAATTTGTGTCATGCTTTCAATGCGATTGGGGTGGTAAATGAATTACGCTTACAATGCAAGAAGTTGCATACAATCACAGTTTTTTTCCACTGACAACTATAATTAGATTCCTTTTGTGCAATCTAAAATTCACAATTAAACAATGAGCGACAACGTCATTCCCTCCATATATTTTAATATATTCGTCTGAAAGGTACAGACTTGCGAGATAGTTGGATGAAGTGAGAATGCCAACTGACAAAGAAGAGATCTCCCAAAACGAAATCAAACAATACTTGTGATCACATTTTTTAGTTTCTTTTACGAAACCGGTTTCTAAAACTCATCTTGAGAAGGAAGAAGTCACTCCTTAGTTACTCTGGTCAGAATCTCGCTTCCTGTGGATATCAACCAATTACTTGGTGTGCTCTGACAATCATGAAACTCAAAATCTCCCAAGTATGATTTGACCCCTCAATCACAAGTGAATGATTTTCAATTAGGATATTAAAAATTCTCAATGTTGTTACTTAATAATAGTAATGGCTCTAGAATTTATCGTATTCTCAGAAACATTAAAATGATGGTGATAAATGAGCTAACTGTTTTACATAAGTTAAGGCTTTTATAGGAAAAATTGCACCATAATAAAATAAGTAAAGAGATATTTATAAATCGATTCGCACCTTTTAAACGAGAGTAGATGGCACCACGGTTAATTTTAGACCATCTATCAATACCGAATGTCTTATTACATTTGGAATCCGTAGTAACTCATTTTACATTTGGTGAAATTAGCAGCTGACGTTTTCCTGGAATCTTTCTTTACTATTCATGTCGAGAATACCTAAAATGGCATTTTGTCACCGAATATGGTATTAGCCAATAATATTGCGTTTTTCAGTAATTTCTACTGGTTAATGGGCCTCGACGAATCCCTGCTCACGCAACTACTGACTTACAAATTCAGCGTTTTCGCGTGCAAGTAGGTACTGTTTACTAGGATACCAGCCCAATGTTCAGGATTTCTAGCCTTCGTATCGTTTTATTTGGTGTATTAATTTTATGGGCATGTTTACGCCTCTACTCTCTCAAAAGATACGATATATTGGAGAATACGGTGTCTGGAGATAGGAAACTGGTGCAAAAATGGCCATTCGATTTAAAGAAAGTGAATGGAGTGTATGAACTGCACCTAAATTATCAAACCGAATTGAAGAATTTCTCAGAGTTCAATATACTTGATCAATATGTTCTTCAGGATGGAGCTAAGAATAGACTGCTCAAATTTAGGGATTTAATAGATATCCCAGATAAACTCTGGAAGCTACCTATTGATCCTCGAGTCACCTTACTCTATCCACAAGCCATCAATATTTCTGATGCAATCAATCGACTTATTGACAGAAAACCATTGAATGAAGTAAGTGAATTTTGCACTTTTTATTATCACAAATATCTTTCTAGAAACCAATAAATAT